TAATTATTATTAATAAATAATATTATTACTTAATACTATATTATGTAAATTATATATAAAGGCCTATAGAGTCAAATTTGTGTCCCAAATTTCCTTTGGTATGGATCCATGTGAAAACACTTCGAACACTGCAATTCCACACAATTACCTTTAAATTTTATTTTCCATGAAGTCATATTGCTTTACTTATGCTAGATGTTAATAATTAGTAAATGCTATCATGTGATTCTTCCAAGTGGGAAGCATATTTGGAAAGAGGAGGTACTGAGGACATAGAAAAAATGTGGGAAGAGAAACATTCTAGGCACCGCTCACATTCCTCCAGTTGTGGTGAACTCAGCTGTGTTGATCCCATATAGTTTTTACTTTTTAAATTTTTAAATTTTATTTATTATTTAAATTTTATTTTATTTGCATGAGTGTATTGCCTGCATGCATGTTAGTGCACCCATGTCATGCAATGCCTGAGGAGGTCAGAAGTGGGTGTTGGATCCCCTGGAACCAGAGTTCTAGACAATTCTTAGCTGCCATGTGGGTGCTGACAATCGAACCTGGGTCCTCTGCAATAGCAGCCAGTGCTCTTAACTGCTGAGCCATCTCTCCAGCCACCCCCATATTATTTTTAAAAGATTTGTTTTTATTTTTATTTATTTATGTGTGTGTGTGCATGTGTATGTGTGTGTGTGTGTGTGTGTGTGCGTGTGTGCAGGTGTCCATGGAAACCAGAAGAGGGTGTCAGATCTACTGGAGCTGGAGTTACAGGCAGTTGTGAGTCACATGGCATGGGTGCTGGAAATCAAACTCATGTCCTCTGCAAGAGCAGTATGTTCTCTTAATTGCTGAGACATTTTTCCAGACACATATCTTTTTTTTAATTTTTAAAAATTATTTTTATTTTATGTGTATGAGTGTTTTGCCTGCATATATGTCATGCAAAGCCTGTGGATGCCAGAAGAGGGCATCAGACTCCCTGGAACTGGAGTTAAGATGGTTGTTATCTGCCACAAGGGTGCTGGGAATCAAACCCAGGTCCTGTAAGAGTAGCTAGTGTCGCTGAGCTGTCTCTCCAGCCCCCTCCTGCATCTTTTAATAGTAACAACAAAGCATACTTTTAGAGAACAAAGAGCTAAAATCTTGGTAAGGAACAGGAAAAACGGTCTGCATTGTAAGCAGTTAAACATCTAGTGTTTGATGAAGTTAATTTTAAAATCTTATTTAATACCAAAGTTCTATAATTGAGTGATTACAATAAGTATCTTTTACAACATACACTCCCATTCATGTGCTCTCTTTAGACCCAGTGACATGAACACCTATAATATGTTATCAATTGCTTACTTGATCTGATAAAAGAAAAGAGAAAAAATCCAACACACTTATAATGCACACAAGCAACAGTTTAGTTTTTTTTTTTAAAATATTTTATTTACTATTTTTATTTTATAAGTGTATTGCCTGCATGTGTGTAAGTGCACCTGTGTCATGCAATGACTTTGGTGGTCAGAAGAGGGCGTCAAATTCCTCTGGAGCTGGAGTATGGATGGTTGTTAGCCATCATGTGGGTGCTGGGAATCAAACTTGGGTCCTCTGCAAGAGCAGCCAGTGCTCTTAACTGCTGAGCCATCTCTCCAGCCCTAGTTTAGTTGTTGTTTTTTTTTAAATTTAAGATATTTTTATTTTATGTGTATGAGTGTCTTGCCTGCATGTATGTAGTGCACCTGTGTCCTGCAGTGCCTGAGTAGGCCAGAAGAGGATGTCAGGTCCCCTGGAACTGGAGTTAGGGACAATTTGTAGTCACCATGTGGGTACTGGGACCTGAACCCAGGTCCTCTGCAAGAGCAATCAGTGCTCTTAACCACTGAGACATTTCTCCAGCCCTTAAGTTGAGTTTTTAAATTTAGACTATGAAAGATAAAGGTCATAATCTCTAGCCTTCAAATTGCCAACTTTAGTGGCATAAATTTAAATAGCACTTAATGATATTCAACAAAGGAGAAAGTCTTCCATTTTTCCCAACCCTTCATGGATTTGATCATATCTGAAGTCCAAAACTTCCTAATTAGCTGCTTGGGCTGGGGTTGCAGCTCAAGTAGTAGGGCGCCTGACTGGCATGTGTGAAACCCTAAGTTTAATTAACCCCCCTCAACAAAACCAATGAGAGCCTTGACATCTGTGTACCAATATTAAGGGAAGCAGGGTAATTAATTACTGTATTCAGAAGCACCTGATGGAGGGTTTAAATCTTAAACATTTGTATTTTACAGGAAAAACAACACACAACATTTATTTCATGCCTAAGACATGGGGACATTAAACTCCAAATCTTCCACGTTATTTCAATCTTACCCTTTTTGTACCCCCATTTCACCCATAGTGGGTATGCATGACATATTTGCTCAGTGAATAAAAAGATATATCAGTGAGTTGTATGTCAGGTCCAGGAGGACAGGGAGAAAGTTTTTCAAGATTTTGTGTAAAAGGCATGAAAGTGAGATCATAGATCACTGGAGAAACAACAGGAAATTCAGTTGATCTGAGAAATTCAGTAGAGTGTTCTGAGATGATGGTGGGGTAGTTGGGAATGAGGCTGGGCAGGTGAGGCCAAATTATCAAAGGTTTTATGTGTGAAGTGGTGGGTTGGGATCTTATTCTAGGAGCAGTAGGGGTAGGAGGGAAGTAGAAAATTATTGGCAGCTGGGATGCACCTTTAAATTGAGATGCAGTGTTGGGATCCTATTGTATTTTAGAGCCAGAGTTCTGGGTTTTGATGTGAAACAGAGGAGGAGAGGAGTGTTAGGACCACAACTAAGAGCCTGAATGTCTAGAGGCAATGTGTCCAGTTGCAGGGGGGGCACTGTGGCAGATGTGTAAAGAGGATGACAGTCTGAACACATGCAGCGGTAGCAAGCAGGGGTGAAGAATGAGCAACAGAGGTCTTGACAGAAGACAGTGGAATTAACATTAACCCCCCCAGGCTTCCCCCCCCCAGGTAATCAAGCAGAAAACAGCCCTGTGATAGAAGCCACTTTGAGACAAACCTTCAGGGAAGGAGTGGACAGTAAATCTAATAAGTGTCAGCTTTGTGATGTCAGCAGAGAAAGCAAATGTCACTTTAGAAAGCTCAAAGAAAGATCCTCTAGGCAAGCACTGTGAGCACCCTGGCTTTTTCTGTGCATGGGCCTGAGGAGGAACAGTAGATCCATTCCCAACTTCTACTTTCAAAAGATAGAAACGAATTGGTTTACATTCAGAGAAGCGCCTGAACTCTTCTCTTTGAAGCAACAGAGAGCCTCGGACAGTGGGCCAGGAGAACGGTCTTTAAGTTGTTAGATCACCCCCTCCTCCCCGGGCAAGGAGGGGCAAGGCTGGCACTGCCGAGTCTCAATCTGAATAGCCAGAGACCCATGTGGCAGTCTGTAGAGCCAGGGAATCTGGGCCCCTGGTCCCTGGAAGTTGCCTGGCTTACAAGGACAGGGCTCCTTTAAATGGGACAAAAGACAATAAGTAAACACATATACAGCAGCAGCAACAACACCAACCAGTAGATGTTCTAGCTTCTTGCTGGTCTTATGCCTGGTAACAGCTGGCCAAATGAATGTCCGTTTCTCAGCATTTCTCAGCGACGAGGGTGGGTAACTGTATTTCCCTGCGTAGCTTTTTTTTTTTTTAAAATTGTAATGCATGCATGTGAGTGCGTGCGTGCGTGCGTGTGCGTGCGTGCGTGCGTGTGTGTGTGTGTGTATGGCTCATTTACTCTGCACCTTAGTTTTTGAGACGGGGGTTTCTCACTGAACCTGGCTAGACTGTCTGACCAGCAAGGTCCAGGGGCCTCTTAGCTGCACCTCCTTCCCTGTCCCCAATCCCCCATCGCTGGGCTTACAGGTGCGCCACTACATCCCAGTTTTTAAGTCTGTGCTGTGGATCCGAACTCAAGTCCTCAGACTTGCATGACAAGCATCTTTACTGACTGAGCCATTTGGCCAGCCTTGGGAAGCTTTTTTATACAAGTTTCTTCGTGGGAAAATAGCGTGTGTGTGTGTGTGTGTGTGTGTGTGTGTGTGTGTGTGTCCGTCCGTGTGTGTCCTTTAAATTACTTAATAGCTGGGGACCCTGAGGGTGGGAAACAGCAAAATCTTGGGATGGTCAGGAGCAACCTTGCTGATAAACTTTGGCTCTAGCTTTGCCGCACAAGAGGGGCGGGGTTCCTTGAATGTTTGCTTAGGAGAAGGCGATTGGCCCTGGGGAAATCCAAGAGGCGGGTCTAGTCGGCGGTTGCCATTGGTTCCGCCGGCAGTTGAGGGATGGCAGCGAGCGGGGCGGAGCTCAAGAGGGGAAGCTATTGGTTTGGCCCGATCCCACCTAGGGGAGCGAGCTGGCTGGCTGGCAGGCGAGCCCGCAGCCCGCAGCCCGCAGCCCGCTGCCCGTAGCCGGCGACCCGGGAGCCAGGAAGCAGCTGTCAGGGAGCGCAGCGGGACGAGCGGTGCATGGGGCGTTGGCACCGGTGCGCACGTCTTCGTCGATGTCTCGGATGCGGCGAGGAAGCTTCTGTATGGCGACCTGAGCCATTCAACAGCTGAACTCGGAGGCAGCGGTCGCAGAAAGCAACCCGGAGCATTGACGGTTGAGACTGCGGCTGTTGGAGGGAGGTGGCGGCGGCGGCAGGAGCGGTGGCGGTGGCAGTCCCGCTATCTCAGTGGAGCCAAGCCTGAAGGCACAGCGGCTGCCGAGGCGCCCGGTAAATGCCCTGCTCTCTGCTGGTCCACAAGGCGGCTGCATCCCGCTGCGTCCCGCCTGATCCGCATCCCTGGCCTACCGGAGTCGCGGGTTCCTGGCAGGCAGGGACCTGGGTGAGGACGGGAGGGACTTGGCAGAGGACCTCGGTTGCCAGGCCTGCTCCAGCTGGAGCCAGGTTTTCCAGAGATGCCCCTAGGCTTTCCCCTCAGACCTGGCTGCGCTTCCCCAGATCTTGGTGTCGCACTAGGGGGTGCTGTGGCCTCTGCTGCAGCGGAGGTCACTGGAGGCATGGACGTGCAGGGGGGAATAGAGATCTGAAGGGTGTTCTTCCTAGCTGGATGCACATGCCCAGGGTTTAAGTCCTCAACTTTCTCCTTGCTCTCACTGTACTCATCCAGTTAATGACTAACGGGGTAAACCCCCGCCCCCATGAACATCAGGGCCTTGGTTTCAGGGACGTGAATCTCAGCTTGAATTTCCTGGCGTTCGGGGAATCAAACTATTTCTAATTTGACCAAGATTTCAGAGTCTTGAAGAGTCTTGAGCTTGGGATGGTGGGCGGAGGGGTGAGGGTAAGAAGCAAGTTGTGGAGACTCAGACTGAGGAAACTGCCATCCTTGAGCATGTTGGGCATTGGGACCTTCTTTATATTTGATCTAATCACTAATTGTGATTTTATTTGAAGCTAGTTATTACAGCACTTTTGAATGGCACTAACTCTAAAGGATGACTTGTGTTGATTGGACCACGGGATTCCAGCATGGGGACGGCCTGGACCTTGTGTTTTCTCCCATAGGGTGTCAAAGATGGTACCCATTTTGTCCTGTGTTCTTCCTGCCTCTTATCTAATTTAGTTTTTTGGTCTTTTTGAGACAGGGTCTCCCTGTAGCCCCAGCAGGCCTGGAACTTGCCATGTAGATCAGGCTGGGCTCGATCTCACAGAGATCTGTCTATCTCTGCCTCCCAAGTGCTGGGACTACAGGCCTGTACCACCACGCCCAGCTCCTATCTAATTTTTAAGCTTCATATTGTTGAAAGAATATAAAATTGTACGGCACACTTGATAGGGAGGAGTTTTCATATTCAAAACCAGTTTGGGGGACAGTGTAGCTGGGACTTCTCAGATTCTGGGGTTTTGATAGTTTGCCTTTCAGAGCACATAAGATCCTAGTCCTCACTCTTTTCTGTGCTCTGCTTTCATTCCTGTGTGTGGAGGATGTCCTCACAAACCATGGAGTTACTTGAAGCATGGAGTAACTTCCATGACAGCATTTTTTTTTTACTTTAATTCTTGTTAAGCACAGAGAAAAGTGGACTAAGCCAGCAGACACTGGTGCCCAGAGGATCTCAGCTGCTGCACAGATCAGAGCATGAATGGGACTGACTTGAAGGAGAATTCCATGTTTGGGGGAGTAGGGTATGCACAGGCCATTTTGGTTTCTGCAAGTTTTTCATTTATTCTTAGCCAAAGATTACACCTGCAGTGTGGTCTGTTTGTTCAGGTGCCCCTTCACACACAGGTGGAGCACAGAGCCTTTTTACTGGCTTTGTGGGTCACCTCCAGCATCAGAAGGAAATGTGAGACTTGGAGCCTCGGGAATGTGGATGGGAAGAGCAGGTTGGATACAAAATGGTGTTGAGAGAGAGAGTGAGAGTGAGAGTGAGAGCGAGCAAGAGAGAGAAAGAACACGACTCTGCCAAGGCTTGCTACACATTTATCTTCCCAGCAAGTTCCTCTCCCTTTGCTAGAGAGAAGCATTTTTTTCAGGCTGGAAAAGCAATCTTACTTTAATTATAATTATGGAATTCTTTTTCAAGAAATATAATATTTTTATTAATTCTTTGAGAATTTCACACATGTATACAATGTTTATTGATTGTATTTACCTCCCCTCCTCCCCCTAACTCCTCCCAGATCCACTTCCTGCCTTCCCCTTCCCAATTTCATGCCCTTTTGAAAATAACCCACTGAATCCAATTTGTACTACTCATATACTCATGGATATGGGGCCGTTCCCTGGAGCTCAGTAAACCCTTAAAGAAAATGGACTCTTCCTGCCCTAGAATCCATTCACTATCTAGCTGAAAGACAAACTTTTGCTGACTTCTTTTAGAGGTGGTACTAGTTTTAGAATTCTGATTCACTGTCTACTGGGTTTACAGATTTTTTTTTTTATTGTTTTCATCAGATTCCTGGCCCCTTAAGAAGCTTAAAAGCCCAGGTGCCAATGGAGGCAGGGTAATACTAATACCTGGGCCACAGTTGGAGCAAGCATGGACTGCATGGAATCCAGGGGAACATTACTCAGAAGAGACAGAGTAATAGCTGGGGCACATACAGGAGACACAAAGACCAGTGAAAATTGAGTAGCCATAATGAATAAGGGCTAATATTAATTGAACACTTACTTAGGGATAAGTATTATATTTGCAGGATTTCACATAATTCTTCAAAAGTCATCCATGGCTACATAGAGAGTTGGAAGCCAGCCTGGACTACATGAGACCCTGCCCCCCCCCAAAAAAATCCAACATACTTCAAAATATGAACCCTTTTGAATACTGTTGGAGTGCCACAAATTACCTTGGGGCTATGTGTATGGCATGCATGTGAAACATGAGTGCATGAGTGAATTTTATGTTTAGAAGTTGGTCTCCGAGCTGAAGAGATGGCTCAGCGGTTAGCAACACTGGCTATTCTTGCAGAGGACCTGGATTTGAGTCCCAGCATCCACATGGTGGCTAACAACCATCTGCAGCTGCAGTTCCAGGGGATCCAACACCTTCTTCTGGCATCTGTGGGCATTGCACGACATGAGTGCACTTATATACATGCAGGCAGTACACTCATACCCATAAAAGAAAAATAAATATTTTTAAAAAAGAATTGGGTCGCATCTCCAAGATATCTCCTTATATATAAGTACTTCAGATAACAAACATTTTGCATAAGGGACACTCCACATGTATTATCTTGTACAGCTCAAAGATTTTTAGGTAACAAACCCAAGAAAATCCCCTCGCTGTTCATTGGCAGAGGTGGAATTTGAACTCAGGATTACTTGAGCTTGAAGGCATTTTGCTTTTTACTGTCACAGAGGTTTCATTTAAGAGGTGAGACATGAACAAGGCTTTGAAAGGTGGGTAAGCTTTACGTGAGAGGGGCTGTTTGGTTGAGGGGGATCCACATCTTTGAAGGAACTCAACCAGAACAGAGGATGAACACAGGGACGTTATGAAATATAGGACTGCTGAGGTGGGGAGGCTCATGTTCTTGAGTGCCTTGAATGGAATTTGTGATTTGATGTAGTGAGAAATTGGAGATGTTGAGAATTTTTCTTAAATCTTTGCATGTGCATGTGTGTGTGTTTGTGTGTGTGTGCGCACACACATGTATGATGTGTTCATGTCACAGAATATATGTGGAGGTTAGAAGACAACTTCAGGTATCAGTCCTCACCTTCTATCTTGTTTGAGACAGGCTCTTGTTGTTAAACCCTGCATAAACCAGGCTAGCTGGCCTGGCAGCTTCCAGAGATTTTCTTGTCTGCCTTCCATCTTGTCATAGAAGTACTGGTATTACAGACACATGCCACTATACCCGGCTTTATGTGGAGTCTGTCGATTTGGACTCAGGTCCTCACACTTGTATGGCAAGTGATTTACTTACCCACTGAACCTTCTCCTCAATCCAGCATGTTGAGAATTTTTGAGCAAGAAAGAATATAATGAAAGCTGTGCTAATTATCTTGTGTGACCTAAAGAGTCTCTGAGCCTATGCCTCTCTTCTTTAATTTTTAAAATTTATTTTTATTTTATGTGTATGAGTGTTAATCCTGCATGTGTGTAAATGCATCCATGTATCAATTCTTGCCTTCTTCCTTGTTTTGAGACAGGGTTTCTTCTTTGCTGCTGATGTACCAGGCTAGCTGGCCTTCATGCTTGAAGGGATTGTCTTGCCTCTGCCTCCCATCTCACCATAGCAGTACTAGGATTACAGATGTGTGCTACTGTGTCCAGCTTTACATGGATTCTGGGGCTCTGGATTCATGTCCTCAGACTTGCATGACAAGCATTTTACCCAGTGAGCCATCGCCCTACTCCCTGAAAGCACTCTATGTTCTAGATACATAGATATAAGCCACTTCTGTGTTGGTACTGATGACATCGTGCAAGTCTGTCTAGGAACTCCCGGGCATTTAGCATTTGTAGCCCCCTGCTTATCAAATGTCAATGCTGTTCCTCCCTGGGCCAATTATTGTCCCAAATAAAACTGTCCCAAATAAAACTGCCCCTATGCATGTTCCATTCCTCTTAAAGCAATGCTGGCACGTTTAAAACCCATAAAGCATACTCCCAAGAAGTCTAACATTCATTTTGTATGAAAGAATGTTAAGAACATTATTGCTAATCTGTGGCCCAAAGTATCCCAGTCCTCTTATGGCAGTCACCATTTTCTTCCTCAGATTCCAGTTCCTTGTCCTCATTTCTTTCTCTTTTTAGACTCGGTTCTTCGAGAGTGAACTCGTTAGGACTCATCAATATACCCCGAAGTCTAACGGAGTAGGTGCTTGGTAGGTACACCTGAATTACTCTCAGTGTTCATTAGTGTTAATAGCTCTAGGAATCTAAAAGAACATGCCAGCCTGCATTACCATTGCACTCCTGGTCTTGAGGTGCTAGCATTTGCATTCTAAATATAGAAGAAATACCTCTGAAAAGTACTTGTTAAGCAAATTCTCTGTTTTACTTTAGATTAAGCCTTACTGAGTTTCTACTGTCCTTCAGCTGTTTTAGGCTCTGAGGTTATACTGGCAAAGCAGGTACGCAGTCTCTGCGTAGGGAAGGGAAGGGGTATAAAATTTACAGTTGGGATAGGGAAGGGAAGAAGAGGTAAAGTTGATGAATACATATTATGATTGGGTAGCTTCAGTGTTACAGTGAAAATAAAATGAGGCAGCATGCTACCAAATGACAGGAGGGCGGAGAGGATAATACTCTTTCCAGTGTCAGGGATAGAGTCTCTGAGGAAGTGATAGGCATTCCGTTCAAATCTGAGAAACAGAGATTTGGCCATGCGGGAATCTTGGTTTTGGGGGGAAGCGCTTGTGCAGTGGGGACACAATACAAAGGCCCTAAGGAGTGAACCTGAAGCATTTGTGGGCAGTGAAGAGGTCAGTGGGGCTGGGGTGGAAAGAAGGAATTTAGGAGTGGAGAGGGATGAAATGATTTGAAAGAGGCAGGCAGAGGCCATATTTCAAGGTAAGACATTTAGATTTCCCTCAAAGCATGATTGGAAGCCTCTGGAGGGTTTTGAGCCATTGGCTACTCTTTAAGATGTTTTAAACCGGGCATGGTGGCACACACCTGTAAATCCTAGCACTCGAGAAACTGAGGCAGGAAGATTGCCATGAGTTTGAGTCCAGTCTGGATTACATTACGAGCTTGAGGCCAGCCTGGATTATATTATGAGTTTCAGGCCAGTCTGGGCTACAGGGTGAGACCATGTCTCAAAAACCAATCCAAAAGTTGTTTGATTAAAATCACTTTGACGCTTATCTGGGCTAAGGCCTGAGAAGAGGCTAGTTAGGAAGCTGTCAGAACTGTTGAAGTGGGAGTGATGGGTGCTTGCACCTGGGAGGCAGCAGCAAAAAAGGAAGTGGGTTTGGAATGTGTGGTAGAGGTGAAGAAGAGATTGGAATGGAGAGGAAGGGAACATTAACTCTCAGGTTTTCAGCCTGAGCCCCTGGGTGGAGGTGGCTCTACTTAGGGAAATGGAAATTACTGGGTGGGAAGGAGCAAGTGTGAAGTGGAGGACAGGTTTAGGGAATGGGAATTCAGAGAAAGGTTACATTTGTTTGGTTGAGATGCCAAAGAAAAATTCCACTGGAGACAATGAACAGGCAGTTGGATATGAATCTAAGGTTGGCGGAGCTTCAGCCTACATAAAATTAAATGCAAATTAAAGGTGCTTGGGGTGTCACTATATACTAATACAGGCATCAGACATAAAATGATAATGCTCAATGTGAGTAGGGCTGCAAGGGAATCAGACATGCTAATTCTGCTGATGGCCTCAGTCTTTGGCTTAATGTTCCAGGAGACCAATTTGGTCAGATTTGATGAGCTATATAAGCTTATTCCTGCCCTTTGACATAATATATTTTGAAGAAATACTTTTTAAAAGCTTTGTACAGAACTTTTTATGGTAAGTGTTCATTTTTGTAATAATAATCTAGAGTGGCAGTCTTTTAGATATAGTAGTGTTCTGTCAGAAAAAATTGAAGCCAGGCATGGTGGCACAGGCTGTAATCCCAGCAGTTGACAGGATAAGGCAGGAAAATAGTTACCTTGAAGCCAACCTGGGCTACACATTGATTTCCAGGCCAGCCAGGGCTACATAGAGAGACTCTATCTGGGGAAAAGAAAAAGCAAAAATCCTTTAACTGTTCTAGTTTCAATCTGTTGTTGTGATAAAACACTCTGACTGAAAGCAACTTAGGGGAGGAAAGGGTTTATTTGGTTTATACTTCCAGGTCATACTCTATCATTGAGGGAAGTCGGGCAGGAACCCAGTACAGGAACACTGAAGCAGAAACCATGTAGGAACATGCTTTCTAGCTCACTCACAAGCTTATGCTCAGCTAGCTTACTTATACAACCCAAGACTAACTACCTGAATAGGGATGATACAGCCCCCAGTGGGCTGAACCGTCCTACATCAAGACAGCCCCCCACAGAGATGTCCACAGGCCAATCTGATCTAGACAATTCCTCAGTCAAGGCTTTCCTGATTCTAGACTGTATCAAGTTGACAGTTAATGCTAATTAGGTCACTCACCAAAACTGTAGTAACCCCCATATAGAATTTCTCTCTATATACTTTCTATTGCATGGGAAGAGAGATTTATATTGGCCATGTCAGTATCCAGAACTGTTAATAAAATGGTACAAAGTCAGGATTATTATGCTATGTAAGTATGACTGTGTAAATTTCACATGATGTCCATGGTGAGAATGACAATTGTCTTAGTATTTGTAAATCATTTTATTTACTTTTGACTTTCTGTTTCTCTCCAGCAGTGTTCCCACAACACAGTGGTCACCATGAAGAAGTCACATGAATCGTTGCCTTTCGAATATTTCCTTCTTTGATCTCAATTTTCGTAGAAGGTATTGGGTATCCTATTTTGTGGGACTTGGATTCAAATAAGTTCACCTTGGGTTTTTGGAAAGGTTGGAAAATACTGCTGCTCTCAGAAACCATTTAGTACAGTCTTCTGTAAAGGCGGCTTTCCCCCTGTAGGTGGCGACTGGCAGACAGAAATGTTGCTGGTAATTTTCAGACTGAAGCTAGAGAAGCAGCAAAACATTGGTAATTTCACCATAAGCATTTCCCACAGATAATACTCTGATTGTTCAAGGAGTGAGGCAAAAGTATGGCAGATACTCAGCCACATCCCTTTCAATCTCTAATGGCCTTTTTTTCATGTGAAAAGCAGAAAGCAGTGGGGCTGTTTTTGTAGCATTGTGGTAAATTAATCCAAGGGATAAAGCAGCTTTTTTGGCTGGAGGTGTCTGGAAAACGGTGTTTCTCAATAAAGTGCTAAAGAAAGGGCAAAGGACTAAAGGACTTGTCAGACAGGTCTGCCAACTGCTCTATGCATATAGTTTTTTTAACTAGCTCCCTCCCTTGCTATCATGGGTTCAGGCCTGTTACACAGGAGCATGCTGAGTCATGTAAACACTTTGTTTATTTGTGTATTTGTTTGTTTATTGTTCTTTTTGGAGACAGGGCTTTATGCATCCCAGTCTGACTTCTAATGACCTCAAAGTCCCTATGTACCCAAGGATGGCCTTGAACTTCTGATCCTCCTGCCTCCACTTCCTGAGTGCTAGGATTACTGACTTGTGCCATCATGCCTGGTTTATGTGGTGCTAGGGATGTGACCCAGGGCTTTGTGCATAACAAAAACAGGAAATTAATTTGTACAGAGACAAGTCAACATGAATCAAGTTTTCTTCCTTCCCTCCTGTCCCTTTCTTTCCCCTCCTCATCCCCTCCTATTTGCTTTTGCTTTGTTTTTTTTTTTTAATTTGAGGCAAGATCTTGTTATATATCTTACATTGGCCTTCTCTGTCCACCTCCAGATTGCTGGGATTTGCAGTCATGTGCCACCATGCCTGGTCAGTTTTCTTTATTTCAAGACTACAGTCCCCCACACTAAATTCTGCTTTAAAGATGAGTTTCTTTGAGTAGTATAGAAGAGATTCTCTTCAAATTTCATTGTCACAAATTTATTATCTCTAAATGGCTGTGGAGCTTTAAAAAGCTCTTGCTTTCTGTCCAGAAACCCCCAGTATATGCTATGAATCCCTTCAAGCCATCTGAATCTGGGAATTCCACAGAAGGTCATAAATTGTCTATCATTGCAAAGCTGAGTGCTGCTTAGTTTAATTATGTGATTTTTGAAATTATTCAAAGGTCAGAGCATATGGTCAGCCTCAATTTTTAAAATGATGTTTAGGTTAATGATGTGTCAGGATTCTTGAGTATCTTGATTGAAGAGCCATGGAATATTTTTATTTGATTAAGACTTACTGGGATTCTGTATTTGCCAGAAGCCTGGAGATCAGCTAGGCTGATTTGACCCAAATAAATTTTGGTCTCCCTGCTGACTTCCATAATGTGTTGATAGAATGTTATGTTTCTTAAGTGCTTTCAAAATGACTAACCTTACGATTCAAAAGCCTGGAGAATAAAGACAACAAAGAGCTACTTCCAGAGAGGTTTTGAGTTGTGTAGGTTGTCCTATTTTTTTTCTGTCACATTTTACATGTCCTTCTTTCAAATGGCCTTGCCCACACTCTGAAAGCAAATGTCTGACTGTGAGAAAGAACAATGACTGGATATAGATGAATACTTTTCTTATGACACAGGTGCTTTTAATTTTTCAAAACTAATTTCACTAAGCTTTTTCTAAGAAGTATTCTCTAGCATGTTCTAAAATAAAAGACAGTATTGAGTGACTTTGGATATAGAGTGTACAGAATTTGTTGAGTTGGCATTTCAGTTTCAAACAACAGTTCTAACAGATTAGAAAATGTCTCTAATCTGTTTCCTTAGTCTTAAGTTCATATTCTTTTTATCTAGCTAGCTTGGCTCCTAGGTAGAGAAGAAAGGAAGACAAGGTGGTGAGATGACTAGAGAAAGCAGCCATATTTCCTGAGAATCTTCCAGAAGTATTCTGGTGTTGGGAGAATGTTACATGAAATATTCTAATAAAGCTATGGACACAAGACACTGGTAGAGTGCATGCTGTGTAAGCATCTTTGAGCACCAGTCATTTTTTATTGTAGTAAATAAAATCACTTCATTCTAATTAACTCACACACAAATCTCACATGGTTGGTTGAAGGAAGCCACTCAAACACCCAGTCCTAAACTCTGTATATCTTAGTGAACTTCTGTATCATTAGAATGACCATTTTGAAGCAATAGAGCTATGATTAGGACTTTATACTTTCACTATCAATTACTTTATTTTTCTTTAACATTTTTGGATTTATTTTTATTTTATATGTAGGAGTGTTTTGCATGCATATATGTAAGTGCACCACATTCATGCAGCACACAGGGAGGCCAGAAGAGGACTTGGATCCCCTGGATCTAGAGTTACAGACAGTTGTTAGCCACCATGTGGACTCTGGGAACTTAACCTGGGTTACCTTCTGTAAGAGCAGTCAGTGCTCTCAACCTCTGAGCTGCCATTTCTCTAGCCCCTATTGGTTTCTTTTTTTCTTTCTCTCTCTCTTTCCCTCCCTTCCTTCCTTCCTTCCTTCCTTCCTTCCTTCCTTCCTTCCTTCCTTCCTTCCTTCCCTCCTTCCTTTTTTTTGAGACAGGGTCTCCCTGTAGGCCCAGCTGGCCTGGGACTCACTATGTCAACCAGACTGGCCTTGAACCCACATAGATCTGCCTGCCTCTGGCTCTGCAGTGCTGGGATTGAAGGTGTGTGCCACCATGCTTTGCTGTGTTTATTTAATTTTCAACCCCATCATAGTTTATTCTTTTTTAATGGTAAATAAATGAATTCAACTTTATAGGTATTGAAGTAGTAAGAGTCTTAAAAAACCCCATAAGTTTTTAAGGTTAAAGGCGCTCCCATTGTTCTCTGTAGAGGTTTTTGAATAAGTATTATCATTCATGTTAAGTTCTTTAAAAATATTTTATTGGGGCTGGAGAGATGGCTCAGTGTTTAAGAGCACTGATTGCTTTTGCAAAGAACCCGGGTTGGATTCCCAGCACCCACATGGTGACTAACAACTGTCCATAACTCCAGTTCCAGGGGATCTGATGCCCTCTTCTGACCTCCAAGGGCACTGCATGACATGTGTGCACTTATACACATGCAGGCAATTATTTTTTCTTTTACGTATATGAGTGTATTGCCTGCATGTGTGTAAGTGCACCCATGTCCTGTAATGCCTGCAGAGGTCAGAAGAGGGCATCAGATCCCCTGGAACTGGAGTTACGGATGGTTATTAGTTACCATGTGGGTGCTGGGAATCCAACCCCAGTCCTTCTTCAAGAGCAGCCAGTGTTCTTAATTGCTGAGCCATCTCTCCAGCCCTGAGTTGAGATCTTTTTTTTGTATGTGTGTATAAATATATAGAGTAATTTATTACTGTAAATGTAGTTTAAATTTCTAAATAAAGATGTATCTGGATGAATTTTGCTATAGAAGGATTATGTGAATTTCTGTATAACGGCAATACAGAAATGCTTTCATGATCAATGATTAAAAAGATACAGGCCGATAGGCATGGTGGCACATGCCTTTAATCCCAGCACTTAGGAGGCAGAGGCAGGCAAATCTCTGCGAGTTTGAGGCCAGCCTGGTCTACATAGTGAGTTCCAGAGTTTGAGACCCTGTCTCAAAAATTACAAAGATATGGCTAAGCCAGGTGTGGTGGTGAACATCTGGAATCCTAACACTTGTGGAGAGGATCAGGAGTTCAAGGCTAGCCTGTGCTACATAGAGAAACCTTGCCTCAATAGGCAAACAAATAATATGCTGAACAGTAATTGAATTAATTTGCAATTCTTTGATATCTTGATGTAGTTGTCTCATCAACATGTTTAAACATCATCTACATTTAGTGGAAGACATATCATTTAATTACAGTATGATTTATACATGCTTAGAGTAGTTAGGCTTTTAGTGTAATACATACTACTTAATTACAATGTGATTTACATATACTTATGCATTTATGTGTAAGACATATTACTTATTCTCAGTGGGCATGTGGGTTTGTGGACTTAGTGCAAGGACCCATTTCCTGGAATGTTCCGCAAACCATAGAGAATCCAAGCACTAAGATTATTTTTGTAAAGCAAACAATAAACAATTATCCATTATTTCCTTTCATTAGCATCTTGAGTCTGTTCTATAAATTTGGATGTTTTTAATTGGCACATGAAAGTTGTACATATTTATGAAGTTCCATGTGGTGTTTTGATAGATGTACACACTGCTGGTGTTCAGATTAGGATAAACATATCTATCCTCAAACATTTACCATTTCTTT